GCATATAAACTGTCAGCTTAGAAGCAAAACCCAGAGTGCTCTAAAACAATATTTTATTTACACAAACACAAAAAAAATCTATGCATTTACAATTCTGCCCAAAAGGTCAACATGTTACGATTTTCCAACTTTTTAAATTTTCTTTACAATATAAAATCTACAGAGATTTGGGACAGTGTTTCTTAAATGACCATAACTGATAAAAAAAAAGTTTCCTCCTTTGTCCATTAATACTGTATTTTGAAATACTCCCTGTCTTATCTTGCAACAGTGAGGACAGGTGATTCCTTTACATATATCCCATATGTAGACATAAATATAGAGATTAATGACCATTAAAAAAGTACAATGTGGCTTGATATTCATTTCAATAGATGCATACATGACAGAATTAAAATAATGAAATAAACTGAGGAATTAGAGAGAAGGTACCTCTTCAGTTCCTCTTTGAAAAACCCACGAGAGTTTTCTCTTTTTCTTCCCACATGTTATCATGGTCAGCTCTCTGTCTCCGCTCAAGAAAGACTCAGTCTATCCCGCCAGAAAGCTGAGAGGAATCGCAGATGTGTGGATTTAGGACTTAGAACTTAGGCCATCCTTTAGGCAGAATCATTTATACCAAAATTATTTTTTTTTTAAACAGCTGTTTATTGTAGTGGAACAATTCAGGTGAAGCCCCTTGCTCAGTGGTACAGCAACAGTGTCACAGCTGGGATTTGAACCCACAACCTCCTAGTGTCAAGGCCAATCCCCTAATGACAGCTCCACACTACTGCTCTCAGGCCCACCCCAACAGGCAGGCTGGACCCAGGCTAAGGGGAACCCAGCACCCTCCACCTCTTCCCGAAACACAGTGGAGCTGAGCAGTGAGTGTTAGCAAGGGGCTTCTTGCACACCTCCTGCAGTGACAGATCCTGTGAATCAGTCCCAACACCCTATAAAACAAAAACTAACTATGAATCAACTACAGAACATCAGAAAGTCAGAGGGGCAACAGACATGAGGCAGCACCCTGGCCCATCCGACTGCTTCTGGCCTGGATTGAAATCCAGACGTCTGCACCAGTAACCCTCATCCTCATGAGGGCCCGGAGCCTCCTCCCACACAGAAGGAACCATGTCCAGTTTGTCTTGGATGTCTGGCGCAGGTTCTTTGGTCACGGCAACTGGATTTTACAAACAGACCCAGCCCACAGCCCACAGCTGAAGAGGACAGGGGTGGGGTAAAAGACACCCCCTCTATAAGGATGAGGACTGAAAGAGGAAAAAGTCTGAGATTTCAGGAAAACTACAATATTTCCGAGCAACTTGAGGTCTTTCTAAAGGGAGCAACTTGGGAGCTATTTAAAGAGAGTTAAATTATTAACAAGGTCAGGTTAAAAAATGGGCTCAGCAAGAGGGTGGAATGAACTGTCCTGATAATTCGACAGGAGGTGCTGGCTTCTTGAGGAGGAGGTGGATCTTGCGCGGGGAAATTCGGGATACCATGGGAGTTGGGACCTGGCCTTGAGAGATGAATATTAAGAAAAGAACAAGAAACTTTCACGCTGCTTAAAAGAGACCTGAGAAAGGATAACAGCACAAATAGCTCATTCAGACTAAAGCCATAAGAGGTGTGGCTTTGGACCGTGGCCCGCCTCCGCACCCATGGCTCCGTTCCATTGGTCACACCTCCAGTCAGGCTGCCATATATGGTAGATGACCAAAGAGAGGGTGGAACCTATCAGAAGAGAGTTTTACAGCAAACTATTTCTAGTAAGGAGTACTAGCACACAGCTCTCCCAGACTGCAGCCTCTGAACTGTGTGTGCACGCTCCCTCAGGCCCCTCAGGTTGTAGAGCATCTGCCAGCTCTTTAAACTGGTTTCGATCCCAGGCGGCATCTTTTAGCGAGTCAGGACCGGCCCTGGATGTCTCAGTCCGTGGAGGAGCTTTCTTGTTCTTTGGTCCACTGTTCCTAGGGCTGCCGCATGGGTGGCTTGAAGCTCTGTGGTCTGGGTGACCCTTGACCTGTCATGCCTACGTCGCCCCCTTGCGATCTGCTGGAGGTACCTGAGAGCTTGCAGCCCTGTCAGAGAGAGCAACATCACTTTGTCAATCGACCGAGCTGGAGTCTGCTTTGGGCACTGTGGAGCTCACATGTAAGAAAGCCCAGCTTAGGGCACAGTATTCTCACCCCCCCACAGGGGGCACCACAGGTGACTCTGGCTCCCATTGATGTCTCTGGGCTGACTGGAACAATCAGAGTGAGCAACTCGATCCAGGAGACAAAAGCTGCAGCCAGTTTGGGGACTGTCCATGCATGTTTGAGTGAATGAGTGCGAGTGTCTGAATGAGTGTGAGTGAGCGAATGAGCGTGAGTGGATGAGTGTGTCTGAATGAGTGTGAGTGAATGAGTCTAAGAGTCCTCTCTGTCTGGCCATGCAGTGTGTGAGTGTCCTCTCTCTCTGGTCAGTCAGTGTCTGAGTGTCCTCTCTCTGGTCAGTCAGTGTGTGAGTGTCCTCTCTCTCTGGTCAGAAGGTGTCTGAGTGTCCTCTCTCTCTGGTCAGTCAGTGTGTGAGTGTCCACTCTCTCTGGTCAGTCAGTGTCTGAGTATCCTCTCTCTCTGGTCAGTCAGTGTGTGAGTGTCC